TAATAAGTGTCTGGCTATTCAATTGGATCTAAAGTGGGCGCCGAATAAATATTGTGGAAAGTGGTAATGTCCGGTAAGGTATGGAGCCAGATGGACCCTGGCGAATTTATTTAAAAGCCCTTTTATTTAAATCGTCCTAAATAAAGGGGTGCAGCAACATGACCTTCAACATCCCTACATGCAATCCCGTCTGTATTTATCTACATTGTACAATCGCGGATCGTTTGTTTTTATGTACCCGCCACGCGCCGTCCCAGCGAGCTTCAACGCGGTACGCGGTATCAGTAAACAAAAATTGTCTACACGTGTTTAAGAAAATGGACGGAAAAGTTAATTTCCTCTATATATTTTGTTATTTTTGGATTGGTAACAAAGTGTTGGCAAACTTTTTTGTATGATTCGAAGAAGTGAGTCTTAAAATGACTTTAGCATCATTTTAACAATACATCGTTGGACGCAGTTAATAAGCCGCTAACACGTGGAACCCACAGACTGTACAAAAACATGTGTATTTCATATCTCTACAATTTTGTGACCCTTACAGACAGACAGAGTAAAAGGGGTTAGGTGTCAGGGAAAGAGCTAGCAAATCAATAAAACTGTAATATAAATTAAATGTACTAACAAACTAAAAAACAGTTTTCATTTTATAAACAAATTGGAGTCTCGCAGACAGCGTAGGCCGTACTTATAGTGCTTAATACCCTTTCAACAGAATATTCTAGGAATTTTATAATTCTCTCATTAAAAATATTTCCGAAGGACTTGTAGAGTGCAGATAAAATTGAAATTCAGTGAACCGTACTGAAGATATCTGAGTAATCGTTGAACTTCGATAATAAGCTCTCTCGTTAGGAGTGTATTGTCAATAACATCGCTAATGGTCCTATTTATACGCAACTTACTTGCTTCATGTCGCCAGGGTAGTTTTTCATATGAAATCGTTGGCGGAGAATCAATTATATTATTCTTTTTTACTCTATTTGCTCGGTATCGTTATTACGTTTCATAATGTCAATAATAGAACTAATATGGTCGACCTACGCTTCGTAAAATGAGTCCGAAATCGATGTATTTACTGTTCCGTATAATAAAAAAATTGAACCTTATTGCTGTGTGGTGACAGCAGAGTAGAGTACATTTTTGTTAGTATATGCCTCTGTTCTTATTGGTCGTATCGTAAGAACAGACTATAGAACTGCACAATTGACAGCGACCGGGCAGAAGCGCTTTCTATCAAAGCTGAATTTTTTAAACAGCGATAGTCCAGTAAGTATTGGACTGTTGAGATCTGTTGATATTAATATTATCACACTTATCTTTACTGGACAATAGAAACGAAGCTGGTATGATCGCGACCCGATCTCTGATCACGGTAAGCACGGGCATGCGGACGGCGAGCAAGGGTAGCTCGCCGCCCGATCAGAGACTTTAGTACTAGTTTGTTTTCCGTATTTTTTTTATCATGTTATATATTAATTCTCCACGGACTCTTAGTCCGTGCCCTTATCATTTTTTTTATACAATACGTCTAATCAATTTATAAATACCTATGTTACACACTACAAGTAACCACATCTTATTACTACAATAATTAATTGCATATTAATTAGTTATTATCTACTTACAGCTATTTCAACAGCTCTACAAAATCAGCCCAAAGAACACCCACAACAGCCGCGTCCCGGTGTTTGGTGGCCATTTTCAGGTTGTAGTCCTTAAACCCTTGAGCCGCTCAGCCGCCCTCCTGATTAGTTTGCTTATCGCGTCTTCGCTGTTGTCGGTGTAATAAATGAGCGTGTGACGCGATATTGCTATTACCGCGTGTGGTACGTTATCATGGATTTTATGCTTCTTCGTTGCTGTGCTCAAAACAACCACATTCACGCACGAAAGCCCTCGTGTATTGTAAGGACGCGTGATCCCAAGCTCGACCTGTATCCCTGGTTTTTAAGGGATTCCTTTTCTGCCTGAGTGAGTACCAGGTAAAGTGTCGGGGAGTGATTTTGGGATCATCGCTCCTGAGAACCGTTTTACCTCGAGGGATATCACGAACGACTTGGTCGTCCAAGTCTCATATACACGAGTATATGCCAACTGTAAACTGTGCTGAGAGTATACCTACATCCATTGGATTTCTGTGGGTACACATCAATATTGAGCCGCGGAAGACTTAACGGGTTCAAAGTCAAAGTCAGTCAAGTTAGACACTAACACGCGGATCTCGCCACAACCGGGCGGAAGAAGTCATTGAATGATATGATTATATGTATGATTCGATGATATGTTGGTATGATTCTAATATCCCTCTCAATTAATGCATACACATTCATGAATCTTTTTATGCAAGTCCGTCAACTGAAGGCACTTTTCATTGACTCATAATTTTAGTTCGCCAATTTTAAAATACTGTTACTTTTGTTTGATTGTTAGGGCGACTGTCGAGCAAGGGATATTGAGTTTGATTTTCAGATCGGGCTAAGAATCGCGGACATTGCGATACTTCCTAAAATTTTATGTATCCTATAATATTATAAAATGAGGGTGTCTTCATTCGATAATTTTTTAAACGTTATAAACGTTTTCGAGGATCATTGCACGTAACACGCCGATGAGCATACATAAATCATACGCAGTCAAGATTTTTTCGACTATCTTGGGAACAGACCAGGGGGCTTACTCTTGAATCCAATCCCGATCAATCGACATTGGTATTGTAAAAATTCGTACTCTTGAGTTGCAACTATAGCGCCCATTGCATCCGTATTGCGTGGATATTGAATGAACTAAATTGTATTAAGTTTGGCTTTATATTCCGTACTCTGAATGCTATTGTAACAGCTACGAAAGGGGTTGTATAGTTTTGACATTGAATAATTATTGAGATTTTATTGGCTTGAAATTGCATTGACATTGAGATTGGTCTCAAGAGTAAGCACCCTGATTTGAATAATTATTTTTGTGTTGGATAGTGCATTTATCGAGGAAGGCTATAGGCTATAAAATATCATTCCACGACCAATAGTAGCCGAGTAGCGAGAGAGACGTAGCTAGTACAATGTATAGTGAACTGATAAAGTCAGGAGCAGCCGAAGCCAAGCCTGAACGGGTCGCTAATAAGACAACAGTTTCTATAACTTCTGTACAACTTTATCATCGCGAGGTGTAGTGTCGTTTCTTTATTAAGATTAATTCTCCTCATCGCTAATCATCATCACGAATTCATCCACTTTGAACTGAAGTTTATTGATAAATTGCCAACATCACCACGCTTAGCAAGTGATTTTGGGATCACCACCAATGACCAAATGTCATTCGATTTGAGGATACAATTGTCTATCCTTCGGTGACTTGTCGGTGTCTTGGAACACACCCGAGATGACAAATGGAAAAAGGGAAAAAAATTCTCTGTCTGCGGTCCAGTCAAGACATTTTCCCTCTGCTCTCTTGTGAATATAGCTTACAGCTTCAATTAACTAATATCGGTTATTTTTATCCAGAACTCCCACTGCGCACCGCCGAAACACTCCTTAGCAACTAATTCGTGAAACTTGAGCAAGCATATCATATCAACGCAAAAGTTTTTCAAATTGTACGTCTTTCTGGCCCACCTTTAGTTACTAATATTACAATCAATATGTTTATCGCTGATTTCAATGTGATTTATCATCAGTACCTATACGACGATATTTCTAGACAAATTATTTTCTGACATCTTTTTAAACAAATAGGGGCATACAAACAGAAGAAGCGACGGATCACCCGACGGTAAAGTTAATTTGCCATTGGACTCCCGCAACACCAGAGACGTGACAAAAGTGTTGACGGCTTATGGTAAATATCAATAAAACCGGTACCTACTATGGCTCAATCATTTAGTAGTTCTACCTGGAATGATTTCCGGGAGTTTTGAAAATTGCTAATTTTGTAGATCTTGATGTGCTCTTTCCGATTTCCATTTTGTACCCCCGTATGTGCGCCACTCGCGCCGCCATCTTGGAAAAATGGTTACCAAAAACAATTTTTTCTACTATAGACAGAGCAACTTTATGTCTTTATGTCATAGTCGTTATTTTTAATGAATTGATGAATTTGCAAAAGTGTATCGCAAATAATCCAGGTGAAATTTTAATCTGCAACAGCTCGATCGGTACCCATGGGTCCAATGAAAATAAAATAAGTCATTCTTATTGGAAAATGGTGCCTAATGAGTTTTATTACAAAATCTCTCTTCCAATGCATTTCACGAGGAAAACATCTATTACAAAATTAAACTAGGCGAAATTTCCTATACTTAATACATATTTATTTAAATAGGTATACCCACAGCTTCTGTATACATAGTATTAAGAGATAACAAACGCAACATTAGGTATTGGGTTTATACAGTCGCCAATTCTCTAACTCCGAGTGCCACTGCCTCATTAGCCGAGTAGTCGCAAGTGGGACTGCCGAGCAAGGGGTCTGGGGTTTGATTCTCGGGTCGGCCAAAGTATTAATAGGTTTTCTAAAAAAATCTGCGTAGTAGCACGATGTCTGGAAGTGTGCCCGGTATATGGCAATATGCTCACCCCCTATTACATGAGACTCATAATATAAATAGTGAAAAGTGGATGCTACATTATACAGTGATATTGATTGAGTGCTATAATGTGCACCTCTGCCTACCGCTTCGGAGATGAAAAGCGTGATGTTATGTTATGTAAAATTACTAAAATGCACAGGAAAAGAATTATTGCAAATTAGACTTGTTTTTGGCCGCAAATTTTCCAAGATGGCGGCGCGAGCGGCTCACGTACGAGGGTGCAAAATAGAAATCGGAGAGAGCACGGCAAGATCTACAAAATTGGCAATTTTAAAAACTCACGGAAAACATTCCAGGCAATCCCCATATTTCCGCCTTAATGATCGAACTACTAGAATTTAATATAAATATTATTTTTGGACGTAGGATTATGAAGACGCATGTATGGAATTAAGAATGCAATAAAAACACCTACCTCCTGAGGAGTTGCGGTATCCTTGCAGACGAGGATAGCGTTTTCCAGGGCCTTAGCTGCGTGGAAGAAAGCGTTGTTCTTCTTGTAGCACTCCGATGCTTTCAGGTGACAATCCTTGGAGTTGGCAGCATCTCGAGCAATACGATAGCACTGGGCTGGAACAAAACTGGCTTTCAACAAACTGCTTTCAATTAAATCCCTGCACATTACACAATAGGGATGACAGGGTATGAAAATTGAAAATGTATTTAGTCCGTCAGTTAAGTAATGAAAAGATATTAGACACGTATTTTATTATTATGTCGTATAAGAAAACAATACTTGTATAAAACGAATCAAAGTTTAGGAGTGGGAGGTAGCTACGTCATTTTAGAGTATAAATCGTACTCAAAAGTGACGTCATGCGATATTTCAAATCAATATATCTTCGAAACTATTTATTTCTTTAAGTAAATAAAAAATACGTGTCTAATGTTTTTAAATAATCTACCAGACGGACATTAAAATAAAAATTAGTCATCTACCCTATTGCTCATTAGATTCGCGAATATTCTTATTTTAACTTATTAAGTGTGGGAGAGCCATGCTTCGGCACAGAAAACCGACGTGAAGCAACGCTTGCGTTGTGTTTCGTCGTGTGAGTGAGGTCAATTAACCTCCCCTTCCCCAATCTCCCCAATTCCTGAATCCCCAACGATCCTCAAACTCATAATCCCCTAAAAGGCCGGTAACGCACTTGTAATACCTTTGGTGTTCCAGGTGTCCATGGGCGGCGCCGATTGCTTACCATCAGGTGATCCGTCTGCTCGTTTACCGGCCATTTTTGCCATAAAAAAGAAAAATGATCATTATTGAGATAAAGTTTGTTCGTGACCATGGTGCGGTGTACAACTAACATAGTTATATGTTAAGTGTCGTTATATTCAAACATCAAACAAAATAAATATTTGAACTATTATATTTCAGTCACAATATTTTCAATTATTCAGAATGTACACTAGAGCCTGACCTGTTGCCGTCGAGACAATCAAAACTTCAAACAAATCTATTCACATAGACTGACCTTTTAAAAGGGTATCCGAATAAAGTAAAACTTTGTATAACAGATTTATGAGATATAAAGTTAAATATTATATGATACTGATATCAATGTAAAATATTAATATGAACGGAGTGGTTTTTTTGTCTAACAATATGACGAACCCAGCGACGTGTAGAATGTGGTAGCCCAAAGATGGTGGTGTTGTTGGTATAGAAAAATACACTAAATTACTATCTTAATAAATCAATAGAGTCAGCTCTAACGCTGACATTCGTACACTCCATTACCTTAAACTTTAACCTTAGCGTTGCTTAAATTCCCAGTTTATACCTGCGGAACTTGTTTGATAACTTGGGGGAATCCTTCAAAAGGCGCCTAGCTTTTTGAAGAGAAAGACTAGGGAGTGTGGGATTTTTACCTGACTAAAACCACCCTGATGGTGGCCGCTCTCAGCATCTGTAAGGGGCAGTGGGCCATATAATAGACCGGCTCTGGAGCTCCCACGGAGCAATCGGCACATCCCCAGGGCAAAAAATACCTTAGGACGGGAAATTAAGCGAAAGGAAACTTTAGCAGGTCAAGACACGGCTCGCAAATTCCTTTTCTCAGAAATATATTAAAAAAGGTATTGTTTGCAAGCGATGAAGTTCAACAAACTTATAGAACTCATCCCATCTATCATTCACCGCAAATGTGTTTGTATATTTGTTGTTATTTATATCACGACCTGCTATGAGATAGATAGGCGTTCGCAGTGAGGTTAAACTAAATTTGACTGGAAATATTTTTATATGGGGAGTTAGGTTGTGGGCGAAAACAAAAGGGTTTTTAAAAAACAATATTTTTGGTGTGTTTCGCTTGAAGAGCAGAGCAAGACTGCTCTTTATTAATTCTAAAGAGTACATGAATGCTTATCTAAATAATTAAGGAATATAAACTAAACAATGGCTTCCTTTTTTGCGCACACACTTGGGCACTAAAATTTCTCCAGCATAGTAGTTTAGTCTCGGTCAGACAAGGTCCATGTAGCCCGCGTTAGGGGCTGAGACAGCTGGACAGCTATCCGGAAGCCGCGATCGTGCAGGCCTGTGTGATACCACCGGTTAAGCCTGCCGACATTGATGAGGAAGCCAAGTAGCTCCAGGATGACATGTCCAGAATTTTTGACGTGGCCGTCCGATCAGGCAACGTAAGCGCCAGAAGTACTGGTAGTCGCAAGAGCTAGCTGCTCAACGCAAGTCGTGCACTAATACGCGACGCCAGTACACTAGGTATACCGCAGGCGCCATATTCGTCCTCCGAACGCGGAGGCGAAAGAGGCAGAGTTGTAGGAGGTATACAGAGTTGCAAAGGCCGCCCTCAAGACAGAAATAAAGCGGGCCAAACACGAACAGAGACACGTAGGGACATCCACGTACGGTATAAGCTCCGCACCTGGGCTTCTCTGACTCAGAGTCTTCAGCCAGAGGTCGTAGTGGAGGTGATTGGTGCCCTGTTCCCCGGCTATGGAGGAGCTTCACCCTTCCATAAATGACTGCCCCCTGCGGTTCCCGACGCGGGCTATAGCGACGACGACGAGAGGCAGAACAGTTCAGTGCGGAGTGCGGTGTGGAGAGCGAGGAGGACTGGGTTGCAGGGCTCCGGCTCGAAGGGCAGGAGTAGGAACGAGGTCGTTTTTAGTCGTAAGAGTCTGACACTCCCACTGGGACTCGAGATGATCAAAATCGATAGGGAGAGTATTTTAAAGGATGATGACACTTGAGAACCTTAAGTTAAAGGTGAAATAATGATGATAATGAAACGACTTGGGATATGATATTCATACTAGGTACATATAATAATTTTACATACCTGCTTGGCTGTATTCATCAGCTGCCGAATCGTAGTCCGGCTTCCAACGGAGAAGGGTAGTCTTCAGGCTATTTGAACATAAGCATAAGTTATTATAAGAAGTCATAAGTAGTGACATACATTTTCAACTCATAATTGTATGCAACAAACTGAAAATATTAAGGTACTAAAAAAAGTAATTAGAACGTTTCCATGAGATCGGTCGACATTCTAGTAACAAGGTGATAGGTCGTCTAATACCCTTGCCGGACGGTAAACAACCGCCCCCCATGGACACCTGCATTATCACAGTTTTTAAGAATCTACAGAAGAATCAGGGGCAATAAATTATATTCCATTGATCTTCTACTGACATATTTTTTGCATACAATCAAGAGTTGAAATAATAGGAAGAGACAGTAAAATCTAAATACAGGTCAATTATATCTACTTTATCTACACATGTAGCATAATATCAACGTCGCAAGACAAATAGGAGCAACATAAAACATTCGCCAATGATAACATGAAACCAATGTTCGCTGGGCATTCTTTGAGCTTCTAAACATTAAAAGCAAAGCCACATACAAGACCATGGAAAATATTACATTAAAGTACCTAATTGTTATAGTGTTTTTAATGCAGGTAAAGTTAGTTTCTGTTTAAATTCCGACTATTATTAGGAATCCTATTGCAATGAGACTAATAACATAACTGCCTCTTTCGCCGAGTGAGCATGGGTATAATTGCCGAGGAAGAGATCTCGGGTTGCATTCCCAGGTTAACCAAAATACTATTGGGCTTCTTTCGCAGTAATCCTCAACAATCCTTAAATTCCTAATCACTTAAAATCCGGTAACGCACTTGTAACGCCTCTGATGTTTCGGGTGTCCGCCGATTGCTTACCATCAGGTGATCCGTGGGCTCGTTTACCAGCATATCCCCTAAAAAAATAGTCGAGCCGAGGAGTCTCGGCATAGTGCCTTGTATATGGCAATAAACTCATCGCAATAGGCTTGCCACTATTACATAAGACTAATAACATAAATGGTTGCTCAAATCTGCCTATACCTTCAAATAATAAGACATGATAAGGACAGACACCCTGATAAAGGTAGCAAGGAGTTATTGGAAGCAGGCCGCTTCCAACCAGCTGATCTAGAAGTCATTATGCGAGCCCTAAATTCAGTAGTGGAAATATTATTATTATGTGTGATTGTGATTTATATAAAATACTAGCTTTTACCCGCGTCTTCGCTCGCGACACAAAAGGATAAAAGTAGTCTTTGTGACATATACCAATACAGACAGCGCCATCTATACCAATACTTTTGTTTTTCCTCGGGAATATCAAATTTCTCCGGGATAAAAAGTACCCTATTATTTAATCCGGACTTCTAACTTTACGTCTGCAAAAATTCAAAGCAATCGGTTTAGTAGATACGGTGTGAAAGCGGAACAAACAAACAAACAAACTCACTTTCCGATTTATAATATTATAGTAAGGATTTCTTTATAAAGGAAAGGGTCACACGGCCTTGAAACCACTGATATTAAAGACAAAGTATTGTATTTGACTTGTTGTCAATAACTCTATTGAAGATTATGTTACATTTTCCATTAGATACAATGGGTTCACTCATAAAAGAATTTTCCAATTGACGTCACCTGTCGGAGCTGTAGGTGAACTAAACATGGGTATAAGTCGTCTTTATTTATAACTACATAGTTAGCTGTACGCGCGACTTCGTTTGCTTGGAAAAAGTAGCCTAAGTTACTCCTGAGTACATCAGCTACATGCTAATAAAAGGCCCGTCAAAATAGTTTCATTTCAGTCAGTTAGCCAGAACAAACAGAATGACAGATAAAAAAAATGTAAATGTTATTTTGGTATATGTATCGATTGTATCATATGTATATTCAAGCATGAAGTAAAAAGCGGTTAGTTTAATATAACAAACAGACCTATGAAACCTATAGAAAACATATTCTGTTAATAACGTGTATTTTGAAAAGAGGGTAAAATAATTTCTTCATTTTGGAAAAACTATGACGTCATCATATAATCATTGGCGTCGCTACTGCCATTCTGATGATCCCATGATGTTAGATTTTCAAGTAGGTAAAATTATTATTTTATTTTCCGATTTCCGAAACTCTTAATAAAAGTCGTAAATCTAGAAAGGGCTTGTTTCCTATTACGCATGGCGCATATATAAGAAGGCATAATGTAATGACATTAAATATGTACACCTCTTCTCGGTAGGACAAAGTAATATTGAATAGTTAATCCAATTTTGATATTTTAGTAGGCTGATAACGGAATTGAAAATAGTTAAAAATAGGTCTGCTTTAACACATGCTGCTTATGACATAACTGGAAAAGCGAGTGTTACATGGATTAACTAAACAGATAAAGATGTAATACTCGTTTTTATAATAACTATCGTGCCATCTGCCATTGGGGACATTGCGTAGCTGATTCCTACATTGGTGTCACTGCTATCACCTATCCAGTATCCGACTAACGCTAGCATAAATTACGCTAGCAAAAACATGACGTCATCAAAAATAACGATGGCCAAATTAGTGCTTACATCTTTTTGGCATGATCTTCAATTGAATTAAAACTTAATTAATTTAAGAATTGACTAACTCGATGAAAACATACTAAAGAGACCATGCAAACTAGCTTGACGCCCGTAGATTTGCTCATCAACCTTTTTCTCGGGAGTTTAATAGTGAAAACCACATGAAAATATGTTCAGCCGTTTTGTATTCATCGCGAACAGAAAAAAAAATCAGGCTTTTTGTAATAAGCAACACTATGGGTAATATACCCATAGTGTTGCTTATTAAAAAAGCGCTAGCAGTTTCAAAGACTAGAATTAATTTTAAACCAACCAATTTAAAATCGATACTAAACTACCTTCCATTTGTTTAACTATTTGCCCTACATTTTTCTAAACAGAACGCGGAAAAGAATTGATAAATAATTCTCTCTACTTGATTCATTGGTTGACTAGGCGCAACGGGTATTGCTTAAGATGTAGGCTGGGCTGTGGTATCTACGTAGGCCCCTGAGGATTCCTCAGAGAAATTTATAAAAAAAAAGTTTAAGTAGGTAGGAGGGAATTTTTAGGAATCGAAGTTACGACTACGAGATTTATGTGGCAGCAAACTTTACAAAACCTTACTTTTTAGTAGGATATAAAAAAATGACGTAAATATTAGTTAAACCTATCTCAAGTCTGGCTTGATAATTGAAGAATAGAAAATCAATAATGTTCATAGCTTAAATAAAGCATTTAAAAATGTTTGCATGCCAGATGGTAGAATGTACCAGGAACGATATATCTTTGTAAGGCCTTATATTATGTACCTACAATCATACAAATAAATGAAACTAGGATGAGTAATTAAAGTTCCTTGCTCATCTCATTAAACTTTGGAAAATACAATCGCAACCATAAACCTAGCATCACTAATGGATTGACTGTTCTGATAGTCAAATAGTCTGTGGGTATTTCGAAGTTTGTATGACCAACTAATTTGAATTTATTAGTTAACCGCATTTCCCTGTAAAAGTCGCCTTAAACTGTCAAACACCAAGCGGTCACCGGTGACCGCAACCTATTGTTCTTTAATTATGTCTATAAATACGGTACTCGACGAGTTAAACAGTGTATCATAAACTGATGAAAAATCACTCCCCAGTCTCCCCGATACCTGATCCCCTACAATGCTCAAATTCCCAATTCCCAAAAAGCGGCTAACGCACTTGTAACGCCTCTGGTGTTTCAGGTGTCTTGGGCGGCGCCGTTTGCTTACCATCAGGTGATACGTCAGGTCGTTTAGCGGCTTATCCCATAAAAAATATTGTGAAGGTAAACCAACAAACAAAGTAGTTAGTCTTCATGTAGGTATGTTAACTTTATGTCTCGGTTAAGATTTTTTGTGATTACCTTCAATATAAAAAAAAATCTAAGAAGTACATATATAAAATCAAACCACCCACTGTTACAATGATAACCATTTACTGGTAATATACTTTTATTCTATAATAACTACCTACCAATGGCTTGAAGAACAATTTTTATTTTTGAATTTTGTTATTCTTATGGGAATAAACACCTCAAAACGGCTAATGAGTCATATTAGAATAATGCCTAAGTAATATTTTTCTCAACAAATTGACTATAAAGAGATCGTAAAGGTGGATGTATATATATGTACAGTAAACCTATAGTCCTGAACCTACATACCACACAGCACTGCCTACACCTTAACGAAATATAACCTCATCTATTGCACAGAATGCAGAAGAAGAAAATTTCATTGGTAGTATATCAGTATGCAATTGTGTTTAAATGCAAATTAGTTATGTAATACATAGTATGAATCTACCATAAAATAATCTATGAACCTACCCACCTGCAAAACAAACTAATACTGTACAAAAATAAATATTTGACACTAAATATATTAAAAAGCAACAAACATGCACTAAAACATGATCAAAAGATGTGCCATGACAATGAAAATGACAAAGAACACAGAGTAATGCATCTGAACTGCGAATGACAATGAAAAATGTATTTTAAACTTTATCATTTTAAGATCAAATTCTTTTTTAAAAGTTCAGCACATTATTTGTGTTTCATACATAATCTAAATAATATACCAACATATGAATAATAATTATTATTTTACGAATACATTCTATGTAAATTATCAAAGGAACTATCTATTAGGAGGTAATAGATATAAAAGGGTACAATTCTACCTTCACTAGTTGTAATTTTTGTAGAATTTGAATATTTTTGATTCCTTTACATACTTATGGGTACCAACGGGTTATGAGATGACTGTGAAATGTTCCTTAAATGTGTGTGTGTGAGTATGTATTCATGGGAGGCACACACAAAAGCTCCACACACATGAACTGCTTACCTATATGATGTGAAACAGATAAAAAATAAAAATGTACATAGAGGTTAGATGTAAAAAAAACATAATTGGAAAAAGTTTGATTTCCTAAACTTGATGTTACTTTCTCAGTCCATAAAGATAATATCATGGTTTTTATATTGTCAAGTTCTTTTTCATTTCTATGAAGAAAAATCTAAAACTGTTCTTCTTATTTAAAAATTTAATGAGAACTATTCAGAATGTAATACAAGATTTCAATTAGAAAATGATTTTTTTTTTTAAGTACCCCCATAAATCCATTTACAGATTTATGAATTTCTTTATTCTCCTTTAAAAACATCTTACTCTTTTATTTATAAGAGCTATTAGGGCAGTATTCAAGGTTTGAAAACGCCAATGTGTATTTAAAAAATAATTTGAAAGTTATAATAATAATATCCAATTAAAAGAAAACCTTTCAATAAGATCCAATTAGAATGCAAAAACTAAAAATTTAAAATGAAAATCCATTGATTTTTTTTATTTAGTCTTCATGATAACAAAATAATTAAAAACCAATATAAAAAGTAATGACAGAAATGCAGTTTTCAAAGTAAGTTTCTAATGCTAAACAAGCAATTAGTTTGTGACGAGATTCGCTCATGATTTAGCTGTGCGATTATTTAATTCTATGACAAACTTTATATTATTTAGAAAACAAGAGCACACTCAAAAGTGATTACCCACAACATTAAAAATATTAACTTAATTACTGTACACTTACAATTTCTCCGCAGCTTTGCAGTGTTCCCTGGCTTCAAACACTTTCACAGACATTTTGGGGAAGCTTTAAGATTTTTTATTCAAAGCAATTAAATTGAAAAGTTGTATTATGCACTCAGATAGTGGAAAATCAATAGAGAGAGCTGCAGCAAACTCACGCTACCATCTTTATAAACTATTTGACAATGAATGAAATGAATGAATAATTCTACGTCAACATGACGTTGAGTTTGACATGACAGACATGACAGTAATCCCAGTGTAGCCACTTTATAAGCAAAATATTGGTTACAATTCGCGCGTTTTCTACCATTTTTGCAAATTATGGCGGGATATTTCTGAAAACGTTTTATTTCTTACAATAATAAATGGTAAAGTAATAAATTACTGTTTTATCCATAATTAAGGGTGAAATATATCAATAAGTTTTATTTACCCATAATATTGTACACAGAGATCCATTCAAAATATAATCAACGTGTTTTGAAAATTGAGGCAATTGTAGTGTTAAAAGGTACAGTGTAATAAAAAGTAAACATTATATGTGTTATGAGTAACTTAACGTAAAATGAATATTATTTCGTAAGTCTGAATTTAGTCTGAACCAAATAATGTTACGTGAGGTGCGTGACATTGTTATAAACTGAAAAACCACCAGATGGCGTTACGATACCTAGTCACAAAACGTTATGGTTTACAACCACTAGATGGCAGCAATGACTTGAACATAAATTTAAGTTAATTTTTTTTTATTTGCAAATAATTTTTACACGTTTCATACGCAAATTTCACTTAAGTCTTTTTTTATATAACAATCGTATTAAAATAAATGCGTAATTTTATTTGCCTGATTTTTTTTTAATTTCGCCCCTCATATGAAATTTCTCAAATGTCATAAAAATTTTTCCATACACATCAGTTTAAATCTCACTTAAACCCGGAACCAGGAACAATAAGTTGTGGATGTGGATCACACAAAAAATTGTTTCGTGTGGGACTCAAACTCACAACAAGTTGCGTAGCAGTTGGTAGCCCAGCCACTGCGTCTACCGTGCAGCCCTGCCGCTCTGGTAGAATGTTTGTTTCATTTTAAGTATGTAGTTTTTTGTAGGTACCTACCTATGAAAAACTACTATACAATGTATCTAAATATAGTCCATAGCTATACTTCTCATAGCTTGAAACTTGGCACGCTCAAACGCCCATATTGTATCTACTTGCCTCCATCTCATTATTGAAAGAATTAAAATTTTAGGACAAAATAATTAGATTTTTTTTTCAATTAAGTCGTACCTACCCCTATACGTAACGGTACACTTTGGTAATTGTGTATTGTTTAAAGAGTTTGGGCGAGCTTGGGGAGCATTAAAAGGATTTCTCGGTAATTTTCCGTAAATACTCTGTAGGACGGAAAAACACTAAACAGTGTACCGACCTAATGGTTATGAAATTGAAATGGTTACTCGCAACTGCGAAACGTATTGTAAACAAAATAAGGTATCTACTACCTACATAACCTCACGGCCGTCTCCCATGGGGATAGGCAGACACTATTGAACGCCAATTGCTACAATTCAATATAATTACGTACATAATAGTTAGTCATGCTTTTAATTCCTTAATTTAGACCTAGTATCTACTTTATCATTAAAATTTAATTTAAGACTTAATTTTCCAATGCAAGTCACGTGTTCTTGTGTCTGTGCTACTTCAATTTCTTTTCTCTCTATATAAAAATCTCTATAATACATTAATCAACCTGAGAAACTTTGCCATCACGAGTATGACCTACGAGGCAGTTAAATTACTAATACGTACCTGCTTTATAAAGTAGAAAAGAGCTTAAACTTTCTGTGGCAATATTTAGATAAATTACTACAAAATAGTATCACAACTATCGTAGCCGACGGACAGGCATGCGCCGTTTATGTTTAGATCCGCCGCAGACGCGTTAATAAGCGCAAAAAGTGCCTTACTAGGGTGGTCAGGGCTGGCAGGAACGTACTTAGGTACTCTTATTATAAAAAACTACACAGTAATACCTTTTTTTTGATGACGGGAGAAACCTTCAAAAGGCGCCTATCCTTTTTTGGGATAAAAGACTAGGGAGTGTGGGATTTTTACCTCACTAAAACCACCCCGGTGGCCACCCTCAACATCTGAATGGAGGCACCGGGTACTCTAAAAGAGTAATAATTACACAAGTACCTAATACCTATAGAACCTTCTGTTGGATTATTATTATTAATTGAACTAAAACACACACAAATAAGTAAACACTTTTTCTTGACCGAAGGAGTTAGCTGCTACTTTTCGCGAGCTACGAGGACGAGTAGATATCATAACAGTTATTCTCGTTTATACCTAAGTTTAGATAAGTGACACTCAATAACATTATGTTTTTATCAATCTAGTGACACCTAGCAGTACAATAAAGGGGTTAGTTCAGGTGCCCACAATAAGTAATTCTTAGTTAAGTGATGGTTCTGTGATGGTTGGTGAAAACAGCCATAAGAGTTCTATGTACCTATAATGGGCTGGCCTAACACTAAAATTATTGCAGTTAAAAGTACTTTAGTTTACCTATTAAATTTTACTATCACCAGTTACATAAATATTAATTGCATCTATCATAATATCATGATACTATATTGTACTTAAAATAAAAATAACATTCTTAATTGTTACTTCAATACACAATAACAATGCAGAGTATGTGTCTTGTAAAACATTCTGAAAACCCTGAAAGTAACTGCGGTAGTTAAAACGAGTAAATGAAGCGATGTTTATAAACGCACTGTGTAGGTGGAATGATATTCGCATTGTGCGCGATCGTACACAAACTTAATATGAGATTCTGTAACTGATTGTTCGGAGTTGTACGCGAAGTTATCTCACGAGAAATGCAAACTAATTGTCTTTTTATCATGGCATTAAATATCATATTCCCCGTTAACATCATTTTGTAAGTGTTCACACAAACTTTTTGCTACAGGGCATAGGCAAAGGTATAACCTTTGTTATGAATGCTGCATTGATTACCTAATTTATACGGTATTCTGTACTCAATTAGGCACCATTTTACTACAGGAACATCATTCCAGACATGCACCAGATAATTTCGGATTTCTCAAGGCTAGAAGAATTTTTAAATTTTGCATCACAATGTTAAGAATAAATACAAATTATATCATGACAAGTGGTATCTCAATGTTTTGTGTACAAAACAGAAGCAGGCAAACGTAACCCATCCTTTTTCAACAACAATAAATGAAAGAGAAACCCTCTCACTATCGTTCCTTTCAAGCATAACTCCCGCTAAGTAAAAAAAACACATGGCTTACCGTACTCCAACTACAGTTACCTGCAGGTGTACAAAACGGCGCGTGGTAGAAAATGGTAATAATTTTTTATTTAATAATAGTAACACTGACGAGATTGCGCACCCCATTTTGAATTTGGAATTTTGTCTATGTGGCCCCCGCCGCGTAACCGAAGGGACAGTATTGAGAAATATTCGAATAACGGTTTTTTATTGAATTCGCTTCTTCAAGATCTTGTTGCCCTTGATAATTCTATAGGTTTCTTTGCAAAACTAGATTTTGTATCTGAATGGTGGATCCTAACTGCAGCTTGTCTTGCAACTTTCACCGTTGTATTTCATTGTTTGGATATCATTCGCTCAAGTGGAGAGTAAAAGAAGCAGTTCAATGCGACGAGTTATCTTTGGGAAGATATGAATCAACTGGCGGATCAACAATTTCTTATGTGCCCGTGTTCAAGAACCTACTTACCTAGCTTCATAAATTTGTGTTGTGAGCGATCCTTATACAATAAAGTTACTTTACATCACTATACATCTTATTTCCCGGAGGGGTAGATTACACATGGCGATATGTAGCATAAGTACACGTTTTAACGTTATGTAGTCTCTATTAAGTAATATGTACCTAATATTCTCCCCGACCTGAGAATCTAGATCCTTCCTAGGACTCAGGGCACAGCAGCCGGTTGCCCAGCCTTTGCATTGACAGGATGTTAATATGATAAACAACAATATAAACGTAGTAAGGCATCTCTTTCGTCTTTTTTTCTTCTTTCATATACACTACACTAATATTCTGTCCTGTGTCGTGGGTGCGTTTACAAACATACAATTTTCACTTACATAACATAACATCACGCCTTTTACCCCCGAAGGGTTAGGCAGAGGTACACATTTCATGCCATTGTACAATGTAACACCCACTTTTGTCTATTTTATGTTTTGAGTCCTATGTAATAGGGGTGAGCCTATTGCCATAATACCAGACACAATTCTAAACTCCGTGCTACTACTGAGATTTTTTTTAAAACCCAGTATACTTTTCACGACCCAGGATACGAACCCAGGACCCCTTGACTGGCAGTCGCACATGCGAACACTTGGCCAACGAGTCAGTCAATTTTCACATACACAATTACAACAATTTGTGGATCACACAAAGAGTGATTTCATACAGGAATCGCACCCGCATTCGGTGCACGGCATCGCCAAACGCGCAGGCAAGACGTCTCTAAGACGAGAAGAAAGAGACAAAGAATAAGAAAATACTCTGACGTAGCGAATATCGAAAAACATAAACATCACAATATCTCTATTAGTATGTATAGCAAAAGCCGCCATATTCCTTTCCTCAGACGTCAAATAGACAGAATCTTATCAATTGATTACATAAATACATACCATAATACTATGTAGTACAAATAAATAAGTGTTTGCAGTAACAACATTCACAAGATATGGACACCGTCATTATGTGATTGTGCTACCAACTATTACGTAGGCCAGGGATAGGAAACCATTGGCACACCATCGATAGAACAAAACCTTATTTAAGACCCTAATGTTACCTATGTTTACAATTAATGAATTTGAATATATTTATGGGCACATCAATGATTTGGTTGGATTACCAAGGTTATAGTGCAACTGATAATTGGTTAATACTGACAATAAGGAAACCTCAGATACTCGAAATTATTTTAAGATTAGCTTTTACCCGCGGCTTCAC